CCCCAAAACCCCAAAACCCCAAAACCCCATAATATTTAAAGAGTTAAATATTGGTAAAATGAATCTTTTAATACAATCAATTAATAAAATTTTTGAAAAATCCTTAAAATATTATGTCTTTCTGACCAATTTAATATTTTTTCAAAACCACATTTTCAAGTATAACATTAATTAACCAATCAATTATGTTGCTATGATTTAATCTTTTACTTTTAATTTTGGTATTCTTAGGATCACCTCTTTTTTTAGTTGATTAATTTAGGTATTTTACCATCAATTTTATTGAACAGATTATTTTTCTTAGAAATATTAGTCAAAGAACCTTTAGAACTCATTTAAATTAAGCTAAGTTTCTATTATTTCGAATTCAGTTTAGGCATCATAATTGAATTACTTTTTGTACAATTCCCCTCTGAAGATTTGATTAAAATTTAAATGTTTTAATTAGTTTGCATTCTAGTATCTCTTACATCACTCATAGTTTAGAGTTGTTAGGATTTCCTTTATTAATAATTGGCTTTTTTAAGTATAACCTGTTTTAATTATCTTATTAGCTAGGATATTGCAACTACATAGATATTTACTGTCAGAAATATTACAGATAGTGTAATTGGAAAATATCCTATTATCATTTTTACTTCATAGTCTAGGCTATAGTTGTCTGAGAAGATTATCATACTGTACAAAATAGCCTGGAAAATGATTTCATTGAAAATCTCTAGGTAATTAGATTGTTTGCATTTATAAGGCTTGAGCAAAGTAATACAAATGATCATTAATATGTTTTGAATTATAAGAAATACTAACTAGAGTCCTTAATTGCTTCCAAATAAAACTAGCGTTAGTGAGTATATTAATCTTCTTGTTATTTATATTGAAGTAAAGATATAACTCTCTTTTCGAATGTTTTCTGTGATAGGTAAGAACTATTATTTCAAAGCGTGTTGATGTTAAATTTAAACCACATGAGTTAGAAGTAATGATGCTAGTGGAAATAATAAGCACAAACCCAAAAAATTGATTGACAAAATATATGCAGTCACATCTATAAAAGTTGACATTCTCTAAAATTAATGTAAGATATGAAAGGAATACATGAGAACTGTTAATGCTTGAACAAATAAATAATTCTATTGTTGATTCTAGCATAAATCGTAAAATCGAATTAAAATATATTGCCCTATGAAATCTATTTATCATCCTACTTAAAAATCAGCTATTACACAGGATTAACGTTAACTATTTGCTTACATATTAATTAGAAGTTTCATCATTTTTAATAAAGATATTAAAATCATAGTGATCATCAAAAAGCAGTATAAGTAAAATATAAGTCCAAGATTTCTGATTAGGCTAGTTGAAGTGTAACCCATTATATCATAATATGGATTGTAAGAGGAATCTTCTAAACTATCTGAATCGTAATCAAATATGAAGGAAGTTATTTTTTCCATATCAAAGAATTAAAAACTAGATACATCTAGTATAAAACTATAGAATAATGCCACGTTGGCAGGTGAGTTAACTGACATTAAAGGTAGATGAGTAATTAATTGGAAACTATTAATCATTCCCCACAACATTTAAATACTCTATGACCTGCATAATATATTAAGTTGGATGTTCTTACATTATAATATTGATGATTAAATTTGATCCCATTATAGTTGATAAGGAGACTGAAGTAGCTGATCCAAAGCTATTTAGTAACTCTTTTAAACCTTGATTAATCTATGGAGGTATGTAGCCCTATATTTGATATCCTTCTTTCATCATTAGCTTCTCTGTCTTATCATGGAATAGAAAATTCAACTTGAATTTGATAATCAATCTATCCCAATCCTAATAAATGAGTTAATTGTTTAAGTTTACTGAATACTTTGAGATATTCTCAGGCTCGGTAAAGTTCAATTGTAAAATAATTTTCCTTTAAGTAATTTCCTTTACTTCAAATTTTAAATCTATTTCTTTATCCTCTTAACTCAGAACAATCTAAATCGATTACTAAACTTTATTCTAGAATTTTGATTAATTATCATCTAGATTTTAATCAAATAGAACCACAACTTGTCCTGTATTTGTAATCTTATTGATTTTGCCCTCAATATGTCCAATAATTTTATATGACTAAGATTTTTTGTAATCTTCTAAAAAAATTGAATCTTTTAACAATGATTCAAAGTAAGTAGATACTTCTGGTTTAACTAAGACTTGAAAATAGTATTTTTTTTGTAAGCTTTGCTTATTTTTGTCTTTTAAAATGATAGTGATTTTATGCTTTCCCACAACAGGCTGAATAGGATTAATGATAAGTTTTTATTTAGTTGCTGTAATAAATATACTAGCTTTTTTGCCTTTTATTAATACAACATAATCATCACCCTCTTAATCATTAATTCTTGGGAGGTCAGCAATCATCAACTGTCCAACAGTTACTTCATAATCTGGAACTTGCTCTGTGAAGTAAGGTGCACTATTACTTATGGTAAATTAGTCAGAATCACTTATGATTTCCAATTATAAGAACTGTGGTATAGATCTTTGAGAGGTGAACTGCTCGATATCAGCAGTAACTTCTATATGGTATTGAAATTCATATTAGCCGATGTTAGAAACATTATTAGTTAAGAATCCTATTTAGAAATCTTGTTTTTTATCTAAGTTAATTATCGTTAATGATTATTATCGATTTCTTATAAGACTTATTGTCAAACTTTACTTAAAGCATTCTTGATAAGGACCTAACCTTAATTTAGGTATTGAGTAGTATTTGACATCAGTTTAAATCTTTTGTTTTATCGAAATAACTTTAGGATCTTCAAGCAGTTTATATTAATTTTAACAGCCATTAGTTATATTTAGTGTGAACACATCTTCTAGTAAGGTCCATTTATTTTCAAGATTAAGAGTATCTTAAATCTTATAGGTGAACTAAAAGTAATGTAAGCCGATCTTGTTCAATTAATAATATTTGTATGATAATGTTGTACTCAAAGAGCTCTAATCAGACATGCTTTATAATTACTGATGCTGTGTCCCATTAATTCCGATTTCTATGAAGTATTTCTTGTTTTGACCTATCTCGTCAAAGCATGAATTTTTAAGAGTGAAATTCGAGAAATACATCTCACACTGCATGCCTAAGTAGCAATCAATTATCAAGGGTAATTTTTTAGGTATTCTGTATTATTGCACTGGAAGTTCTGAAACTAAAATAGAATCATTTCCTTAAACTTACTAGTTACTCCATAGTACAACTTAGGGCAAAAGGTTTTTCATTTCAACAATATCAGGTTTTACTGTAAATAAAGCTTCGAGAATAGTTTTAGTCCCGAAAAACTATTCAGAATAATATAAACTAATTGCTTAATATGGTTATTTTACTTGATATTAAGGATTATAGTCATCTAAAATATTATAATAGCTATTTTATGGCGATAAATGAGATAAGTATGCCCTTTATTGCCCCGTATATTCATTTAAATTACCTAGATGAAAGTAATCATCAATAACCTAAACGTATTTGAATTAGTAAACAGTCAAAGAGTCTGGCTTATTTAGACGTAATTAATTTTCATACACAAAATATTCTCCAGTAATAGATAAGGGGTCTTATTTTAACCAAGCCATAAAAATATCTGCCTTTTCATAATATGACTAATAGACAAGGGTAATATCATCTTTTGCAGCTATTTTAATTCCAATACATTCAAAATTTCTTTGAGCATAGGATGAACTTACATTTCTAAATATTAAGCTAGATTATGAATTTCCTATTTAATGAATGAGCGCACCCATGAATGCTTATGTAGAATCCTAGCTTTCTAAACATCCAACTGCGTAGTTAAACCTTACTGCCATTTAAGCAATAATGACATCATAACTTACTATGGAAGTACTATCATAAATATTTGTTAATAATTCATCGCTATTTGCAAGCCCAGTTGCAAATAGATTGAATCTACCATCTCCATTCTTATTGAAACCCATCAATAAAACTAAAAATGGAATTTCCTAAATATACAGAGTTGTAGGAAAGAAATTTTATCAGCTAATTGAGTATTACCCAAGTATTTTAGATAAATCATTTGAAATTCTCAAAAACATTCCAATATCTTCTTAATATGAAATGTTTATAATAAATATAGATCCATCTGCTTATCTAACACTAAAGATATTCGGAATGGATCTACTAATTAAACTATGGTTTTCTATTACTACTGTGTTTTCAATTCCACCTTAAAAATTCTGTCTTATTAATAGTGAATTTCTCACAATCTCATTATTATTTTTTTAAATCTATTCAGATCTAATGAGTGTTATAATATGCAATTTTGACTAAAATTGAATAGCTTAAATCTGCTGCAAGAGAGGTTAAAACATTTAATCTGGGGCATAATTGTATGAATTAAGCCACATAAATCTGTTAAATCCAACTTTGTTATTATAAAATCCAATAATCATATCAGACCCATAAACTCCTCCAATCGCAAAGTAATCATATTCATCTAAATACTGTAAGACTGTAAATTTTGAAAATATTCCTGCATCCTTTGTCAACTCTATTGGTAACTATTTTGACCCAAAACATTGAGGTAGTGCAATAATCTAACCGTTAATTTAATTTAAAAGGTAAAATAATTATGGGAATGCAATGATAATAGATAACCATAATACTCTTAACATAATAATTTTAATTACTATTACTTTTTATTAATAAGTTGAATTTATTAATCCAAAATTAATTAATTATTTTCAGAACTAATGTAATCACTACCATGGGGTTTTGGGGTTTTGGGG